GTATACATGGTCGACGGTGCCTACACTGCCGATGAGGTCCTGAAGGCTGAGCGCTTCATGCTCAGCATGCTTCAGTTCGAGCTGGGTTGGCCTGGCCCAATGAGCTTCCTTCGCCGTATCAGCAAAGCAGATGACTACGACCTAGAGACTCGTACCCTATCCAAGTACTTCTTGGAGATCACCGTCATGGATGAGCGCTTCGTGGGTTGCGCTCCTAGCTTCCTGTCGGCCGGTGCTCACTGCCTTGCCCGCTTCATGCTGAAGAAGGGTGACTGGGTAAGCTTGTACCCATGCACTATATCAGACCATGCTAACATCCCCTAGTCGCAAGCACACGTACATTACTCCGGGTACACACTGACCCAACTGCGACACCTCATCTCCGTCATCCTTGAGTGCTGCGACAACCCACAAAAGCACCACGCGGCTGTGTACGAGAAGTACACCGACAAGCGCTATAAGCGTGCTTCCATATTCGTCGAGGCAGAGGTCTCAAAGGGCTTCTCGCTGCCATTTGTGTCTAGGGACAGCCTTGCCAGCCAAACTTGGAGGCGAAAGTGAATACACTTGTCTCCACATGGCTCTGACTTGACTGTGTTCTAACGTGGCTCAGGGCTCGTGTGATCGCGCATCTCTCCGAGGGCATCCACCAGCACCCGCCCGTCAAGAGCCAGGCAGTACAAGTCAACCGGTCTGCTACAACTCAGCATCAGCACCAACATGGTCACCATCGAAATCTTCTCCATTCTTGCTTATTGTTCACGGATACCCGGCGCTTTGGCGGCTTCTTGGAACAGGGTCAACACCAGCAATCTTCCCAGTCTACATTAGTCCAACCTTCGTTCGGACACCCGGTGCATGGAGTTTATGGTTATCCGGCCTGAGTCTTTTCGTTCCCTCCGTCACTGGTTCTTACTCTCTCGTCACCGTCACCCATACCCTGGCAGCTGGCAAACTTCCCTTTGACTGTATCTACTTGCTTTGGAAAGCGCTTCCGGCCGTATCACGACGAAATGAGGTCATGAACACCCACTCCCATTAGTTTAATTCTCCAACTCACGCGGATTCTCCTTCTGGTGGCCGTCTTTTTTTCCCTTTTCTCCTTTAGTCACTCCTCTTGGGTCGGGTTTCAGCGATCGGCGATTCTTCGACGCACAGGAGGAACATGGACACCGCACTATGTGCGTATGGGGTTTCTCTATCTGCGTTATGCGTGGCACAATGAAGCTCTTAGTTTGGGCTTTCCAGTAGAGTCAAGAAAAGCGCTTAATACTTGCATGTTCAACAACGTTGACCTTGAGTGATGTGTGCGAACACCTTGCAGTGAGCGGATTCGATTGTGGATGTGCATGTACTTCTGACCCGGGTTTGAGACTTCGTATGGGTTTCCATTGTACTTGATGATGTTTGTGTGTCTGGTGGGCATCATCTCCTGGTCGTTGAGAGAAGTTCAGATGACACGTCCAAGCCTGTGCTGAACGCCCGAAACCTCCATATACACGTTTGCTATCCTCCACCCCAAGTCTGCCCCAGCGAATGCGCCCCGCCATCCAAGCATTCGGGTATCTCAATCGTGACTGCCTCCTTTTCGTGCCGTTGTTGCCTTTTTCACCTCAGCAACCCATTTGCGCCCTTGCTATGTCGAAATTCGATTCGTGCGAGAAACCGTGAAATGCTGATCATTGCGTTGCTTCCGCTGCCGGTGCAATCAAGACTACCGAGTCACCTGGCATACCGTCAGCTTCACGTCATCTAAAAAGTCATGTACGTCTCTCACCTCTGACGAAGAGCATCTCGCTCTGCTTCTTGACTGTCCGCACGCGAGGCTCCTGGTCCTCGTCTTCCTCCTCCGCAATGTATATGGTTTCTTCGACGTCTCCGAGGACGAGGTTGCAATGCGAGTCGTATGCCTAGACATGCTGTTAGCTATGCATGTACATATATACAAGCTGCTGCATCGCGACTCACGTGTAGTCTGCCCTTGAGTTCGCGGTCGCCGCGCAATTTGACAATGACGACTTCGTCAATGCAGAGGCGCACAAGGTCGAGGGGCTCGTTGGTCTCTTCTTTCTCGTCCATGGCGGGCAATGTGTCTGTCGTGGATGCGATTCGTCGTGTGAGAGCTACAAGGCGCCTCCGCGGTGAACTTTGGCAGGAGCGATCGTCTTGGCGGAAGCGGGGACTAGCGTGCACGCGAATCTAGTGGTGGGCTGGTAGGCATTGCGTCAGGGCCCAGCCCCAATCCAACATTTCTAGGTACATTCACCCTCAACATCCCAGTTTCCACCGCCGCCCTACTCTCGATCACTTTCTGCTCGCTTCGACTTTACTTGCCATCCAGTATACGCTGCCCGGACGTACGAGCAAGAGCACGAGTCATGGCCGAGATCCAGGTCCCTGCCCAGAAGGACGAGCATCCGCTTCTAGCCTCACGTCCGCCGGTTACCGATCCCATCACCTATCTTACTATTATTGAATACAACTTGTCCGAGGAGAACTTGCCGGTCCTACACGAGGTTCTTCAAGATGCAGAGCTTACTGCGACTATCGGCTGGGATTTGATACATCTGCTCCTTCCGTTGCTCCCGCTATCGGAAGATTGTTTGCAAGACATCGCCGCCAAAGGTAACCCACGAGAGTGTGTTTTGAAAGTGACAGAAGCGCTGCGGCTACTGGAATTTGAAGAACCACACGATCACACCGACGACGAAGAAGATGATGCAGACCCCAGCGGAAGCAAGAAAGCGGCAGAAGTCGGAATGGGCGAATCGAGCACAAGTCCTGCGTTCCAACCAGCCGTAGTCCCGCCACTTCCGGTACTAAAGTTCGAGGTCCTCTTGACTATACTTGCAACGCTACATCGACGGGTCAAGACGAAATATCCAAGCCGGTTCCTCTCTACCAGTCTGCAGGCTGCACTGCTTGCATACAACAGGGCCAACACGCACATTGAAGACCTCACCCTATCCGCTGTCAAGTTTGTCAAGACGCTTTCCGGCACTAAGAGGCCGCATTTGCCATCGAGACGAAGCAGCGGAAATCTGCTACGTGTAAACACCAATCAGTCGGAGCCAGATCCGGAGGCACAGAGCGACGCGCCGAGCAATGAGGAGAACGATCTTGTCAATCGCCTACTCCAGTCATTCCTCACGCATATCCTCGAGGATTACGTCTTGTCACTGACATCAGACGACGACGTTCCAGGCCTGGCGTGGGCAAGCAGACTGATGGAACGGTACGAGCCCCAGCGGATACCGAACAAGCCCAACTACAAGAAATATGCGGATAGGTTCGCAGAAGAAGAGGATCTGACCTCTAGGGTTGCGATTCTTGGACAGGTTGTAGCCTTGACTCAGGATCTTGGGTTGAAGTATAAGGAGCTTCTTCGGACTGTGATGGATACGGAGGATGAGAAGCGAGGTATTCCAGGAACAGAAGATGAGCCACCAGCCACGGCTGCCGATATACCGCTCTCACGAACAGGCGCTCTTCTACTTATCGCTGCGCAAAACGTCAAACAGGAACTGTATGCTTCAGCCAAGCAAGACGAGTCATTGTCAATTGCCATTTTCCCAGGACACGCCACGATACTCAGCAACTTCATTGGAACTCTCGGGCAACAGACCGTCGGTATGGAGCCTGAAGCACTGCTCGACACAGTTCTTACATTTGGTCTCATCGCACTCGAAAAGAACAACATCGGCGAGCCCAAAGACGACGAGTCATTCGCCCAATACCTGCAAACAATCTCGCTCATCTCCGCAAACTCGCCGTCCCCGAGCCTACGCGGCCATGCGCATTACCTCACTACAACAGTCTTGCGCTCACATCCCCACGATCTCGTTCGCTTAACCTTCATCCGTGATACGCTAGAGCACTGTCCGTACGAGAACCTCAAAGCAAGCGCAGTATCGTGGCTCAAAGGCGAGACCCTCGAGGCCAACGCGCCGCGTCCTCAATCCGCAGACGACGAGCACGAAGAAACCAACATCTTCGCCACGCCAGTCGCTCTATCTACCGTTGCGCCCTTCCTCTGGCCTGATCTCACCAAGCAATTTGCCACCGATGCTGTCTTAGAAGAGTCATGGATGCAATTTCGCCAAGAACTTGGTTTCTACGTTGCAGCACTCAATTTCTACTATCTGCTACTCCAGGCGAAGCATCTACACGAGACGCTTGGTATCAAGGAGTTGAACAGCAATCATAGCATTCAGTCGCAATATCTAGATGTGCTGAAGCAGACAGCGGCGCGGTTTCAGAAGGAGCTGTCATCGGGTGGTGGCGCACTTGTTGTTGAGGGTGAAGAGGCGCTGGAGCAGGCCAAGGCTGATGTTGGGTTACTGGAGAAAGTCATTGAGTGGGTTGAGGGCGGGTTGAAGAAATTGTAGATAGGGTGACTATATGTGTCATGAATGATGTACTTCAGACGGTATCTGCATGGAATACAATCACATTTGCGAAGAAGACCTCAATATTCACGATGAAATTAATATGCTCAGAACATACCCCCGTTCATCCCTCCGAATCCTGCGCCGCCACCATACGATCCCCCCTGTGGAACCCATCCCCCGAAATTATCCGCCGTCATATCATTCCACAGATACAAATCGCCGTTTTGAAACGCCGCGGAGAAGTCGCCCATATCCGTCGTGAAAGCCGTTTGATCACTGATCGGCTGTGGATCAATAGCCATGTCGTTCGCATTCCATGGCGTGGGTGTGGGATACGCGTTACCCAGAGCGAAAGACGATGTCGGTAGAGAAGGAGGAGCAGGTTGATGTTGCTGCTGCTGCTGTGCCGCAACCTGACTTGGATCGATCGTAGACGCAGAAGCAGACGCAGATGTATTCGCGACCTGCACATTCTGCTCCGCAAACGCAGGTGTCTGATTCCCGCTTGCTGTCTTCATCTCATCTCCACCCCCTACCTTCTTCCTCCTCTTGAGATGTCTCCCCTCCTTCCTCCACACCTGATATTCATCCCACCAACTCTTCAACTTTTCATGTAGCAGAAAGTTCCAATGACTCGGCACCCGGACTCTACACTCTTGGGGTCCACCCGCTTCATTCGTCTTATCCAGCACAGTGTCAAGATAGTAACTCACTTTGAGGCTCTGGCTTTCGAGCAGCTCGCCCATTTCCGCGTCGGTGCCAACGGCGTATTCTGCTTTCATGAGGGTGACGAGTGAGTAGACGGCGCGGACGTAGAGGGCGTTTGGAGATTTGCGCAGTTTGTCGACGGGAACGGCGATGAAGAAGTCGAGGATGGTGTGGGCGGCGGAGATGCATTTTGTGGTTGCGTTGATTTGGAGGGCGGAGCGCGAGAGGAGGGATTCGGGTTGCACGCAGTCGTCGTCTAGGGCGGGGAGGGTGATGTGGCGGTTGCGGAATTCGATGACTGGCAGAGTGTTAGATGGGGTAGATGTGATTTGTACTTGAAGACTTACCGTCGTAGCGACCTCCGTCCATACCGAATTCCCACATCGATAACATGTCGGAGTAGTACTCTATCTGTAAGTTCAGCGTCATGACGTCGTCTGGAATCCCTTTTCTCCAGTCTTGCATCCGCCGATCGAAGATTCGCAGTATGATTTGCATTCGCAACTCCGAGAGACTGAAGCTTGTGCTAGCATCGTCGAAGCCAAAGGCCGTATTTGCCTCGTCGGCTATCCTCTGGAGTTTCAACCACGCCACTATTCTCTTATCGTCCAAGAGCTTCGACTTTTCCAGTATGTTGAAGCACTCTTCCATCCAACTGTTGAATAGCAGTATGTTAGGTCGTTTGAGTCGCATCGAGAAGCCTGCGCTGATGATGTAGAGTAAGAGGATAGTGCGGCAGTGCTCGAGCAACTCCTCGGGCGAAGAAATCTTCTGGAGCGACCGAATCGCACGTTTGGGGAGTTGCTCGTGCGTTCTAGGTTTGGATGTCAAGCCCAACTCCAGAGCCATCGACGCGGCCATGTTGACCCACTGATAGATTTGCAGCTGGCCTGGTGTTTTCGATGGTGAGTAGTACGTGACTGTGACGATGAGCGCCTGAATAGCTTGAACCGACTTCTCGCCTTTGATGAAGGCGGAACGTGCGTAGAGAAGGACGGTTTCTTCATGTAGTCTGTCAGACAGGGCAGAACCTTTCGAGTGCGCAGCCGCGGCCATGATTGCGTGGAAGAGCGCAGGCTTGTTTGCTCGGAGATCGAACACGTCCCATTGTTTGGGGATCGTGATGCCTGGACATGCAGCGACGAGCTCGGTGCGCCATATGCTCAGGAGCTCGACTGCGAGATCTTCCGAGATGACACCACGATCTATAATGTCGTTATCAGAAGACCCCAGGAAGTCTGTCGGCGCGCCAGTAGACGTAGAGTCGACAGTAGGGGCTTTTGTGATTGGTGCTGTGACCATTGACGCTGATGTTGTGACACTCGGGCGACTCGATACGCTAGGAGGCGTCTCCTTCTTTCTCACATGGCCTTGATCGTCCGAGTCCTCATCGCCGGATTCCTGTTCGCTAACATCGTTCGATGATCTGGCGTTGGTCTTCAGAAGACTTCGCATCTGCTGTATCTCTTTCTCCAACTCCGTGACTCTCACGTCTGTTCTCTTTCTCTGTCTTCTCTTAGCCGGCGGCGCGAAAACACACGTTCTGTTCGCCTTGGCGCATCGCTGGCACTGCGTCGAGCTTGTGTCCGGGTTCATAAGACATCGGACTTTGGAAATGCGGCATGCTTCACAAGCGCGGTTTAATGGCTGGTCTTGAGACTTCCGGGGTTGTTCCGCGTCTGGGCTATTGACGAGTTGGTTGTTCATAGTCCAGAGCGTCTGTGATTTGGTGTCATCTCCAAGGCCCGACATTCTGGTTGACGTCGGCAAAGTTGCCGCTTGTAGTAGGTTGGTATATTCGGATGACTGTCGTCTTGAAATGCGCACGCATAACGTCTTTGATCCGATTTCGACGTTGCTAACTGCGCAATTCCATGTTTGTAATCAATGGAAGATCGACTAGCGCATGCAATTGCCGGTAGATCCTGTGAGGGCCTGTCGGAGACACGCGCTGGAGTGGAGAATGACGGTCACTGATTGTGTGCGACAAACTTTGAGTACTCGGTCCGCTGGTGTCAGTAAAGTCGATGTATGACGAACGTGGATGCCTAGGAAGCCGTTGATCGAAGGTCGCGCGACAGGGTCTGACACGCGAAGCACCAATCAGGCAAACCTGTGGGTCTAGTGGATGACTTGTGGCTAAATATTGAGCCCGCAATGCGCGACACACGATCTCCGCTCTAGCGTCTCGGAGCAATCCCTAGGAAACTCGCTGTCCGTACCTTTGGACTGTTCCAAGGTTGTATCGAAAGACTACACTCTATGTACGACTGTCGCACGAGAGTGTGCAAGCACCCAAGGCATCTACGACATTGCGACATGAGCTGGAAGTACCTATGAATACACTGCATACGCGTTCAGGCACCCCAATACTTGTCGCATGGATCGGAATATTGGTCAATTAAACGGTGCCTCGTGACGACATTGCATGCGATTGGCAGCAAAGCAATACGACGGAGATATGCCGGGCGAGCATCAAATCCGTCAACACAGCGCCAGAGTATTATCTCGAAGAAGCAGTTCATAGCAGCCGGGGTTGAAAGTCCTGCGCTGTGGAGAGAATCGCGCCCCGCGTATTTGGTTAAGGCGCACCACGCCTTGCCCGACGGCAAACCTTCGTCAGCGTAGGGCGCGACTAGCGCCTTGGGTGTATAGTAATTCAGATCACAAAAACTACTGTTGAGCTCTCCTCATTTCTCAAAACGATATAGTTGTTCATACGATTCATTCAAAATAATAGTCGCTACAAACATGTCCTTTCTATACACCGATTTCGACAAGGCAAAGACACCACCCAAGCGAATACCACCGCCACCCATCTAGCAAAGCCAGAACCAGAACTTCTCAAGCGCATTGCGCGGGATCTGCTCAGGCCAAACCTCCGCATCAAGCGCCGCCTTGCCGCTCCAGATATCTGCCTCGGCCGGGTTGACCATCTTGGTCCGCTTGAAGATCTTCCAGAAAGCATAAAGAAGACCGAAGATGGCAACGCCGATGTAGGCAGTGAAGAAGCTCGTCAGCTCATCAGGTCCCCAAGGAGTGGTTGTGAAGACCTTGAAGCCGTTGAAGAGGATAATGAGGGCGAAGTAAGCGAAGGCAGTCCAGGCAACGTATGGCTGCCACTTGCTAGCGAAGACCATGGTGCTGCGGTCGACGTTCTGGGCAATGCATGCCTTGCGGAAGCGTGTGTATGTGTAGGTGATGGTACACCAAGTAAAGAGCGACGCGATGGTGGTCAAGTTCTGGAACCATCCGAATACCTTGTTGGCACCAGCGCTGACACTCATGTATGTGAGTAGCGAGATTGAGGCTGTGACTGCAACAGCGTAGACAGGGACACCCTTCTTGTTACACCTGAGGAGGAACTGTGGGGCTTGGCCGTTCTGTGCGATACTGAAGAGATAGCGCGATCCGGTGTACAGGAAAGCGTTGCCAGATGAGGTTGCGGATGTCAGGATGACAGCGTTGACGATGTGGGGGAGGACAGGGATGCCTGCGTTCTTCATGGCGATGACCCAGGGGGATGACTGAGCACCCTTGGCGTTCTCGTCGGTGAGCTGAGGGTCGTTTGAGCTGATACAGGTACCGATGATGAACGATCCCAGGACGTAGAAGAACAGGATACGCCAGAAGACACGGCGAACGGCTTTGGGAACTAGAGAGATGCAAGGTCAGTAATCGTTATATAAAGAGTCGAGACAAGACGTTACTTACTGTTCCTGCGGGGGTCGGCGGCTTCACCGGCAGCGACTGCAACCATCTCAACACCACCATACGAGAATGCTGCGTTGACAAGTGTAGACCAGAGACCCGTGAAGCGACCCGTATTCCCAGTGCCCACGTACTCCTTCATCGCACCTTCCTTCCAATAGCGGAATCCTCGCCTGTCATGGTCAGGACCTCCACCGAGCATAATGACTAGACCGGCAAGAAGCAGTCCAATGATTGTTATGATCTTGATGGATGCAAAGATGAACTCGGCTTCTCCGTAAATCGAGACGGCGAAGATGTTCAGAAAGACGATGATGACGATGATGATGGAGATCCATATCGCAGGATTGTACCTGACTGGAGTCAGCAAGGGTTGGGACTCGATTGGACCGTTATACTTACTTCTCTTCCTGGTCCCAGAAGTTGATCAAGAGAGCGGCAGCAGAGATCTCGGCGCAGAGTGTAATGGAGCTGTTGTACCAGTTGTTCCAACCGACGGCAAAACCAAGAGCGGGGTCCGCATAGCGAGCAGCGTACTGCGGGATAGCACCGGGAAGCGGGAGCCATGTGGCCATCTCTCCAAGACACTGCATCATGCCGAAGACGGCGACACCCGTGATGGTATAACCAAGGAGGACAGAGACGGGACCGGCATTGGCGAAAGCACTGGCAATACCGAGGAACAGACCAGTACCGATGGTACCTCCGAGCGCGATGAACTGGATATGGCGCGACTTGAGACCTCTCTGAACATAGCCGTAGTCCTCGGCTTTCTGAGCGGAACCGTAGACACCAGCAGCCTCATTAAGGGCGTGGTCCTTGATGTCGTGGACATCGCCCACAGCATGGTCAGACGGACTCTCGCCCGCGACATACTGCTGCTTTTCGTAGTCGTTGACCGACATATCGGGCGACAGGGAAATAAGAACACCAAGAGGTATACTCAGCGAAGTGGAAGACTGAGCCTGAGTCTACCAGGGATAAAGAACCCAGGAGAGCACAAGAAGGGTAGAGGCGCGAGAGAAGATAGCCTTGCAAGCCGGGTGAATGGGGGTACGAAACGGCCTTTATACCCACGCGCCTGCGAGGATTCCCTTCTCAACTTCGCAGCACCCTCGTCCCAGCACCCGGGAACCGCTCGCAAAAGCAGAGCATGGGCTGGACCCCAGCGGCGACTGACATTCTGCAGACTAGTCGCGGCGCAGCTCCGGTGTGGTCTGGAAAGCCTACTGGTCAATGGTGTGATTGGGAGCGAATGATACGATTAAGATGCAGACGGTGTCGCCGTTCGGTATGGGCTATGCCGCCTTGAATCGCCTTAACCTCGCCCGGGGCTGATAAGGATGGAATCGCTGTACTGGGGTAGACGTTGGAGTGACAAGCTTCGATACAAGCCTTGTCTACTCAAAGAGGGGTACAGCTTATGCACGGCATGCATGCCTGCTTGCGAATTATCGTACAACGACCAGCCTTTTCTCTTTGCTGTTCACACGTCGCAGATACTGTTTGTACAGAGTATTGTCAAGCAAACCTCTCGATACACCGAGGCGCCTTCGACCAGCACGCGACCGCAGGATGGGGCGCCGGGCGTTCCAACTCGCTTAAGGTGCGATTTGGCATTGAGACAAGCCTCAATGGCGCTGAAGCAAGCAGCTATCGGGCGCCCTAGCTCGCGCTAAGCATTCTCGGCAGGTGGATCCAAGCTACAACCCATCAGAACAGTTTCCACTATCGTGGGCTTACTAGGGGTGATGCATCGGGAGTCGTGCGAATTGCACGCCTTTCTAGAACACATTCTAGCGCGCGGACCTACTGCGGTGGTATCGCTGTCACTACGCGTTCGCGCATTCCGTCTCGTCTTCAGTGGGATGAGAAGCGCGAGATGGCTCTGGACCACGACTTTCGCGATGGGCTTCCACGAATGGCGGGAACAAGACGTGCGTTCTGTGCGAGAACGCCCCCGCCCCTCCCGCACTGATGCAGTCACTGCACAGACAATTTGCGCAATCTACTCGGCCAGATGTGTCGCCAGACTGCGTGCAAGGGTTTGATTGGAGTCGTCAGCCTGCAGATAACCGTGGCGATTCGTATACTGGTTCCGACTGATGGCACAAGACTCTCGTTCCTCCAATGACATGCACCGATTTGGAAGCACGAAGACCGGAGTGCTCTGAGCTGACCCGAGCGTCATCCCATGCGGTCTTTTGGGTGTCTTTTTGGCAGGTGGGTGTACTCGAGGCGTGATACTTGCACATGTGACCATCTCGAGAGCCTAAGAGTTGTGCCCTCATGAGGCTTTGTGCACCGACAAGGCTGACAGCGGATCACAACATCCAATGGATATGTTTTCTGGAATGTTTCAGGCGCGTAGACGCGGTAAGCATGCGCCCAGTTAAAGCCACCGGTACCTGGCTTATGCTTGCAGACTTGACTAGTTAAATTGAGGAGCCGCTGCCACCTCACACAGAGAAAAGCCGAACAGGTCTGCAGCTTACATCAGTGTGGAAGCACGGAAAGTAGTGAGCCCAACTTCAACGTAAGCCCCGGGATTATAGTTTCCCTCTTTGAATGAAGTGCTACATTCATTGCACTGGCGCAAGAGGGAAGAATTCGAGCTTATCAAAGCTTAGAGAAAGCTCTTATGTGTTTGGCACCGTGGATCAAAAGTACAAGTCTGCAATTCGTTGCCCGTTTGGAGGGTTCAGAAGACTGTTACAAGTATCAGATCGTGAGTGTACAATTCCATGATATTTATACACACAGTATCAAGAACCGTCGACAAGGTATCCATCTATCCTCCTGACTATGTCCTTGTGCCGGGTACAAAGTCGCAGACATTCCCCATGGTCTGTCCATACGCGTAGCAGATGAAGGTATGTCGTTCTCGGAGTGGTTCGTTGTTTTTGATCTGTCGGATATTCGTCGCATCGTCGTGAGAGTCTTTGAGATGCCTTCGTGTGCAGCAGATATCCGCCGTGATGTCGCAGCCAGCCACCACCCAGGCGCGTTAGCCAGGTCCGATCTTGGGCATGTCGTGGTGC